CGTAAGGAGAGAGTCAGGGTCCTTTGAAATCGAGGCTTTATTCCCATAAGGGCAGCCAAGAGATCAGCACAAGGCAGCTTGAATTATTACAGCTCCTTGATAAGTTTCATTTTGTGCCCTCTTTTGCCTTATAACTGCGGCTTAGGAGAAGAGGACATCTCTATAGACTGTTTACAGACGACAACTGCTTTCAGTCGCTGTCAGCCAAACCTCATTCAGCTAGATCTCAGGCCGAGACTAGCTGCTGCATGTTTTATGTATGAAATATTTCATATTGATGATTGTCTCGGTCTATTAGATTTCAGCCCCTTTCAGAAAACCAGCATGAATGAGAGAGAGAGAGAATCACTCCAGCAAAATGAAAACCTATAATAAGTATTCTAAGGGCACTCATGCAGATTGGCACTGCAAGCAAGATGTATAGGGCTGTCAGCCTCATCCACATGTACTGCAAAACTGTGGAACAAACAGCAGATTAACAGCAATCACAGTGTCAGGAAAGAATCCCAAGACTGGAATAAGAGAGAGCATACTGGTGCTGTTGAATGTATTCACTACAGCTCCAAATGTATTTATCCTCACCCCCTCCCCTGTGAGGTAAGGCAGTGCTAATATCCCCGTTGTACAGATGGGGAACTGAGGCACAGAGAGACTACATAGCTTGCCCAGGGTCACACACGGAATTAGTCTGGGGCTTGGGAGACACAGGTTTGACACCATAACCACTCAATAATCCTTGGTTTCAGAGTAACAGCTGTGTTAGTCTGTATTCGCAAAAAGAAAAGGAGGACTTGTGGCACCTTAGAGGCTAACCAATTTATTTGAGCATAAGCTTTCATGAGCTACAGCTCACTTCATCTTCCTTTCTAGACTAGGAAAGCTCAGACACATCCTGATATGGGGATACCCATTTCCCTTGCTCCCCAAAAACATCAGGCATTTCTCCACCAGCTGCCCATCTCCAATAAGGAGGGAAACTGGACTACATCCTCACTAACTCTTTTATAAAGGCCTCCCTCCTCCTGCCTCAGGAGCCTTTGAATTCAAGCAATGCTGCCAGCAGCTCTAACTCAAAGTGCCTTCTCAGACAGCTCTGTGCTTACAGCATCCAGGGAAGGGAACAAAAGCCCTCCCAAAAGAGCAATACAGAAAGTTACTTCAGAAAGTATTTTTCCAGTTCAGAAAGGGAGGTGGGTGTATTGGGAAAGTGTCTCTGGAGCCTGCAAGAGAGAAGGAGAAGGCAGATAGAGAAACTTGAAAAGGTGGGAGAAAACTAAAGCCATTTATTCAAAGGGTCTGAGGTTTTTGTTTTGCTTTTAAAAAGAGGGGAAAAAAATGGACCTGATCCAAACCCAGAACAGCCCATTAGTTTTTGCCAACTTCACAACTCTTTGCAATAAGTTTTTTTTTTTTTTTTTTTAATTACTGCTTCTGAGCTAAGCTGTGTACGGGCATGCAGAGTTTGCCTTGTAACATGTTATTTTATTGGGGAGAATGGCTAAAATCTCTCCACCTTCTCTGCAAATTGTTCCCCTCCCCCCCCAAACTCCATGTGCCTCTGCTGTGTACACAAGCCAATCAGAGTGGTTACTGAATTTGGCTCTTGTTTACTAAGTACATAGAAGAGAGATTCCTTCAACTACACACAGACAATTCAATCATCAGATTCAGTTCCTGCAAAGAGACTCACCAGCTGCTGAGATTTTGATAACATCTTCAAACAAGGAAGATTTGCACAGACCTCACCTGGCTTTCTTTCATGGCATTTTGTGACAGCTACTTCACTAGAGCTTTGATTCATTTTTATCTTGTATTCAAACCACTGATCTCTCTCATTGATCACAAGATCCAGACATCACAAGGCCTCAGCTGAGCTGTGATTGAAGGTACATACACAGTGGTAAATTATTTAGGGGGCCCTATGCCTAAAAATACAATGAAACAAAGTATTTTAAACTTTAACAAAGACACTATGCTTTGTCTATGGTGCATTAGCCATTTCGCAAACTACCGTATAAGATTTTCATTTAGGTCAACTGTAAATGATCTCTCTCACACACACCCACACACAAACTGGTCTCAACCACACTTGATGCCTGAGGCCTTTTTAATGTTGCATATTGGTCACAAAGGACTAATACTTCATATGAAGGACTCTGGGCCAAGCAATCCCCTCTCACACATAAGCATGTATTCAGCTCTTAAATCTTTCACTAACTAGAGAGCAAGGCATTGTGTAGGTGTGACCGGAGAGAGGAATTGCCCTTTTCTTTGTGGCAGTCCACCTGGAGAATCAGGTGCGTGGGTGGCTATCACATAACCACTCCCCAGCGGTGCTTCTGACACGCATTGGGATTATTCAACCAGATTCATTTCTGTACTTGCTATGCCAGCCAGCTCCTCACAATCCCTTCACTTCTTTTCTACCTTACTCTGCCTAGTATAGGGATAGGAAGTTTCTCAGCAAGCAACAGCACTCCCCTATTCTCCCCACCAACTGGAGGCGGAAGTTGAGCAGAATTTCAATCATGAAGCAAATGAGCAACAAGAGAATGTGTCATGCTTCAACTTTAAAGCAGCTGCGGCACCAGACCAGCTCCTCTAGTGCCCAGTGCCACAGAGCAGAGTGGCCAGGAGCAGCAGCTGCACTGTGACTGTTACACTGGGTAGCATTTTGCCTCTTTAATTAAGATGGGCTGGGATTCCTGCCCGAGGACAAAGACTAACAACCATCTCGGTGTCATCCCTGGTGGAGGATGACGACAACTGAGTGGAAAGCAGGCTAGAACATTAACTCCTTGCTACAGAAAGCAGAGAAGTGATTTCAGTTTGGAACAAGCCTCCTTGTGAGTCTCAGGCCAGCAGCATGATTAACATCACATTTCCAGCAGACGGTCATAAAGGGGCCTGGGAGACAACTTTGCTGAGAGGCTGGTGGAAAACGACTGGCGGTGAAGTCAGTTACGATCCCTTTTTCATACATAATCACCAAGTTCAATTCTTTCCAGCCTGAAAATCCCCTCCATACAATATATTTCCACATCTGCAATATACCACATTCTGACAGGTTTCAATATACCACATTCTGTTCAACTTTGAAAGGGGCTGTACTGAGGGTCATTGAATCCTAAAAGATCAGGGTTGAAAGGGACCTCAGGAGGGCACCTAGTCCAACCCCCTGCCCAAAGCTGGGCCAACACCTACTAAATCATCCTAGCCAGGGCTTTGTCAAGATGGGCCTTAAAAACCTCCAAGGATGGAGATTCTACCACCTCTGTAGGGAGCCCATTCCAGTGCTTCACCACCCTCCTAGTGGGATAGTGTTTCCCGATCAAACCCTGGGCACTGCTCAGAGCCTTTCCCCCGTAAAGCTACACTTCGTCAGTGCACTGGATGCAGGAAAGACACATGCCACAGCATCTCCCAGTTTAACTTTCCCTGGCTGTTGAGTACATGACCGTTCTAGGTAGGCACTGCTACCTTCACATCTGCACTGCATTGGAAAGTAGACTCCCAGCTCCGTCAAGAGATTAGGGTAATTAAAAGGGCTGCTGCCCATGCATCTATTTGTAGTGCCCCAAATTTCATTGAATGCATTACAGTACGAGTGATGCTCACAGCCACACCCCTTCAATAAAGTGGTTCCCCACCTTATCCAAAACAGAGAACACCAGAAATACCAGGAAGAAGGTAGGGGGTGTTGTTCAAAAGCACCTTTTACCAGCTAGTAAAAACACTTGCTTGGAAATTGATTTTATTCTCCTCCAATTGCTGGTCCCTCCAGAAGAATCACACATGGCAGCATAGAATGGTCACATGCATTACAGCCCCTTTGCTTCTTCAGTGCATCATTTGAGTCTCCAACCTTCCTAGTAGCCTTTGCACCATTCTTCACAGAATGGCCCTGCCCTTACGTGAGCGGCGGCAGTTCAGAGAATAAAGAAAGGGAAATATTCCGCAGCTACACTGCCCCAATGAGCCGTGCTCCAAAGCACATCATGCTGCCCAGGACCTGACACACCAGGGCTTTGGCCATTTGGAGACTGACGTTTATGCCAAGCTGCCCTGGAACATCCCTTCCCAGCATTGGGATAGGAGGCAAACGCCTTTGCTTTAAAATTCATGTGCGTAGCACTCTAGTAATATACAACACGTCCATATTAAAGTAAGTTTGACTCAAGAGAGGGCAAACAGCAGAGGACCAGCTTTGTCTGAACGTTACCGAAAGCGAAGGGAGTGTCCCTAGCTGGCAGCCTCAACCAGAAGCTGCATCACATTAACAACAATCCCAGCACAGCACCACTCTCACCCTCCCTAGGTCCCACCATATTGTCAAACACCGATACAAACATAGGGCCTGATCCCGCAGAGATTTACATAGACCCTTCCCTTAGCTTCCAGTTGCAAATCTGCAGGATCAGAGCCATGTCACATTAACACAGCAGCCCCAGCACTGTGATTTGAATCGCTGTTTTGGATGGGGAGTGGGGGTAGATACACTGAGCATGTCTTTCTTTGGAGAACTTTTGTCCTTCACATCCGTGTGTGTTTTATGGCTAGAAAGAGCTTAGAACTACTGGAGAGGACCCCTCAGAGCAAGGTTAGAATAACTCAGTCATTTATTTTGTGTTGATGCAGTTCAGCACCTTTACATGGGCGAGTGGGGGCTTGCTCTATGAAGCCTGACCACCCTGTATGTTTTAGATCAGGCATATAACACAAGCACACACCTAAAGAACAAACCTAGGCCCCAGCTCTGCAACAAGCTCCACACAGATGGTCTCCCCAAACCCACATGATTCCCCATTGACTTCAGTAGGGGTCCAGGCAGGCTCAGCAGTCTGCACACGCAGAGTTCAGTGCAGGGGCAGGGCTCAGCTGATTAACCCTGGGTAAGAAACATTTCCCAGTGAGGAAGGCACCCTCTCCACCCAACAGCAGCAGGCTGACCTATGGAGGCAGTAAAACCACAACTATTCATAGATGAAAACAGTTCCTACCAGTCACTTGCTCCCACAAGGTCAGAGTCCCTAGAGAATCCTTTGCTTCCTCCAGACTTCAGACAACAGCCAGCCTGGGATCCAGTACATAACCCCTGAAAAGGAAAAGGAAGCGGTGTCAGGCTAATGAGCCCCAGTGAGAAAGTGCTCTTCCTCCAGCTGAGAGCAATCCCAGCCCCCTCTAACTCTGCTGAATACCCAAACCATAAAGTTGTATTCACCTCTCCCAGGAGACCAAACCCACCAATAAAAAGACCACAAATCCTGTAATTTCACCCGAGCCTCCTTGCCTGGCCGCCCACATCAGCTCACGCTGACCAGCTGTTGCACTCTCACAGCTGGGGGCAGTTCTGCTCTGATAGCAGGGAGGGGCTGGGAAAGACTCCCCAGAGCTGCACCAAACAGGGGAGCAGTTTTCTCTCCCTCTCACAGAACTCACCCTCCTCTTGGGAACTGCTAAACCTGTCCCACCAGACACGCTTATCCCAGAAACACAATGCATTTAAGGATCAAATTATTTGCTTTTGGGATGCACCAGATGTAAGGTACAGAAAGGAAGAAAGAACAATCCTAGCAGTGGATACTCTTTAGCTGCTCTAAAAGGCTTTTGTACGCCCCCAGGCCTCCTTTCACATGACACCAGCCAAACACGCTGCTCGGCTCTTCATGCACGCAGCATATTCCCCAGGAGCCAAGTACTAGCATTTACACGGGAGTGCCCCAGGATAGTTTGCCTCCCTCTTGAGTTTGAGGCACGGGGGGGGGGGGGGAGTTTTGTTAAACAAATTAGTAGGTTTTCTGCACCCTCACCTCAAGCCTTCCCAGGACACAGGGCTTGCCACAGCCCGAGGCCCCAGTCCTGCAATGTGCTCATTACGGAGCTGGAGGGAAAGAAAGTTGGCAGGGGGCCCCCAGTTACAATGTTGGGGGACAGCTACTGGTGACCTCCAGAACTAAAAGCATAAGTGGTCACAGCCTGAGCTAAGAGCTGTAACACACCCAGAGCTTCTGTGGGCTAGGGATCGCTAGTCCACACTGCCCACGGGGTTACCTGCTTTCTCAGGGCTGGGGAAGCTCAACTCATACACGTGTGGCCCACAACAGTTTGAATCCCAGATGAGCCACCGCATATGGGTGGCTGCCATTTTGGCCCACACTAGGCCAAGGGGATTGAACTGGGGACCTCTTCAGCTGGACACAGGAATCTCTATAACCCAGACACTCAAACTAAGAACTGTACCAGACCCATATCTCTGTGGGTTGGGCCCAGAGGGGGACAGGTTACACTGGTAGCAAATCAAGCGCGTCTCAGCCCTAGCTTCATCCTCCATCCTTTTCACCAAGCACAGTCCTGGTCACACTTAGCCAGCCAGGGTTTTGTGCCGCACTGACACACAGGCCTGCCATCAGCTCCACTTTCTTTGCTGTGACTCTATGGCAAGCAGCCGCTGGCAACAGGTGTGTGTGTAAACAGCCTCACTAAATCCACGCTCTGGCAAATGGCCCCTGGGGGAACTCACTGGGTACTATTATTTTACTGGGCCCTGTGTAATTTAGCCCCCTCGTTAAGCTCCCCTAAGCCCCGAATTGTTTCTATTATTTTTCCTTGCAAATAAAACAGAAGAAAATTCAGGGGAGCTTAATGAGGGGACCTAAATTATACAGAGCTTCCTGCTGCTTTGGGCTGAGGAATGCAGGCAAATCCACCAGCAGCTTGCTGTTTCCAGGGACTGGCCGTAGAAAAGACTGAAGCTTCTCCCCAACACGCCTCCTTCTCCCCAGAGGGATGAGCCCCGAGCCTCCAGCAGCCTCGATAACAAACAGCCTGTGGCCGTCACCCCCTCAGGAAAAAGGCAGGCTGGTGCAGTGGTTGGGGCTGTAGCTGGAGAGCTGTGTTCAGTTCCCTGATGCGTCAAGAGATTTTCTACAAATCTCTGCAACAGTCCCTGAAATATTTCCCACCATTTGCAGCCTTTCCTCCTAGTGGTGGAATCCCAGCCTCAGTCCCTGAGGGCACCTCATACTTCCTCACAGGCAGCCCCGTAAAACCAGAAGCTTTGCGGCTGCCTCCTTTAGCGCTTTGATTCTCATGGATATTTGAAATTGAACAATGTTGTAAACATTTGGATTCCAGATGCCTCCCGACTGTATTTATCATTCTCGGCTCATTTCCTGGCACTGGGGCCACAACAGGCTTCAGACTACTCAGGTGAGTTAACACACTGTGTATGGATCGAGCCTGCGCTCCCCTCCAGCAGCCGGTTTCCTTTTGGGGTTTTCGGCACAGTTATTTTGTCCGTCAGTATCAGCATAATTAAAATCCCCCATTATCCAGGCCCTGGCTGCCTTACAAACTTCTCATAGCCATAAAAACATCCCTTGATCAACTTTCCTCAAATGCCCACTGGGGTTGTAGCAACACCCAAGAATTCTTTGACTACTTTTAGGGACCTTAAAACCAAACTGTGCCCAGGCCAAAACATGTGTGTCGTTCCCCTCTGCATATTCTCAACCCACACCAGAATTGTCACCTTTTGTCCCGATTTCTCTCTTTTATCTGGCAAGCTCATTTTAAAAAAAGCCTCTCGGTGGCCTGCTTAACTGCTAAACCAGGAGGCCAGTGCCTTGTCCCGTCAGTTTGATCCTTCTTACAGAAATGCCCAGAGGCGTCAAGTGTCTGGTTACTCTTATGCTGGATTCCAACCTGCTGCACAGTCTCTTTGCTCATTCTGTCCTGAAAACTGTCTGCGTACCAGAAGTCTGTCAGAGTCTGTGACTTCATCCATCCCTTTATTGCCCAGGTCTGCTCCTCCCTTGCTGTGCTCTGAGGAGTCTGTGACAGTTCGGGGTGGGGGGGGCCCTGCAGGAGATGCATTCAGTAACTCAGCTGGTCAAACTCTTCCCCTTCGCTGCTGAGTCTGAAATGGCCCAGAGGCCACCAGCAAGCCTCTTTGATTCTGGATCTCGGAAAGCCTTAACTGGCTCATTTCTTACTCTCTCCCCTCCATTGTTCTGGGCATACATCACACACAGTACAGTGCAGTCATTCCCTCATTTTGGATTATACTCAGCTGACCTTTATTTGTGTATTATTTATTTGCTCCTCCTTTGGAATAAGTGGGCCTGGGGATCTGGTCACCTGCGAAGTGAGATAACATACTTGTGCTCAGTTTGCAAAGTGGCTTGGAGCTGAGGGGATTGTTTGTTTTTTTGTTTTTTTGAGGGAGATGGGGATTTTTTAAAAATATGTATTTGTGACAGCAGAAGGTGGGAGTGCTGGGGGCTGGAGCCATGTAGCTATAATTCCATCTCCTTCCCCTCACAACTTTTCCTAAACCCCAGCAAATGGAGATTTACTGCAGGATGCATCATTATGACAAAACTGCAATGCATTACATTTCCCACTCTTAAACAGTTGTGGCTTTCCCATCTCTAGCATCTCTCATCAGAGGACCTCAAAACACTTAAATAATGAAAACTAATTACTCACAACGTCCCTGTGAGGTAGGTCAGTATTATCACCCCCATTTTACAGAGGGGAAGACAGAGGCACAGGGAGGGAAGGTGACTTGCCCAAGGTTATGCAGCAGGTCAGTGGCAGAGCAGGCAACAGACCCCATCAATGTGCTCTGACTGCCACAGCCCATAAGGCATCCCCCCGAGCTCTGTTTCAGCTCTTGAAAAATGCAAGGGCCTCATTTGGTCCATGTGTGACTCTCAGAAATGTAGAGGCCTTCATCTTCGATATCTGAATTACTGGCCTCACTGGGAACCAGTAATCCATTCCAAACCCATTCATCCTTCTGGGATGTGGCAGCAGGAGGTGGTGGAATCTCCATCATTCAAGGATTTTAAGAACAGGTTAGACAAACACCTGTCAGGCATGGTCTAGATAATACTTAGTCCTGCCATGAGTGTAGGGGACCAGATCAGATGACCTCTCAAGGTCCCTTCCAGTCCTACACTTCTATGATTTATGAATTAAAGGACATGGTCAGGCCAAAAAGTATTAATTACAGCATGGGAGCAGTGATGGAGGAATGCAAGAATTACTAGATGCCTGAAGTGGAAGGGGAAGAAAAAAACCAACAGAAGAGCTGTCTCTGCACATACAATTAGTATAAGGATTTCTCAGCAATTAGCATGGCCAGTGACTCCTCCGATGTAAAGCCTCTGACGCAGTAGCAGAAGGACAGCTGTCTCTTTTGTTCTGTTCCTTCAGCTGTGCAGGGGTGATGTAGCTTTGGAGAGAGCAGCATCACAAAAGAGTAGCTTCCAACTGCCTTGCTGTGAAGGGAAGGGCCATTCCATGCAGGAGGTGGATTGCACAGCACCAGAACTGCCATTGCAACTGGCAGAGAGGATTTGTTCTCTTCAGTCTGTTCTTGTTCTCTGCACTTATAAGTGCGATCTGAGGCACGCGCTGTACAGCAATGGGCATTGTTGCACCTTCCTGAGCACCATGAGAACATTTCAAGGAACATAGATTCAGATGCTGAATAATCAGTGCAATGGAAACGAGGAGAAAGAGTCAGACACACTCCTTCCTGCTAGATTAAAGAATCTAAACTACTCCATCACTGGAATAATTAACCCTGTCAGCACCCTCAGACCCCAGAGATCAGGCAAGCCCCTCACTCAATGGCTGAGTTCCATTATGGCCAAATACAGCAGGGAGCATTTCACCACCATTTTGTTGTTTTGTAATGTTACAAATCCTGCTTAATGTTAAACTCCCCATTGTTGTATCTTCTCCCAGCTGGGAGGGTACCTAGGAACTTGCCCTTCAGGGGTTCTTCAGAATCCTGCCAGATCCCTTTGCTGAGGTTTAGTGGACAGGGCACTGGACTGAGACCCAGTTTCAGTTCCTAGTGCAGACACAGATTCCTTGGGTCAGTCACTTACTCTACCTCGGGCCTTAGTTCCCCATCTGTAAAATGGGGATAAGACTTCCCTACTCTACCCTTTAATGACTGAGGTCTGAGATACTATGGTGATGAAGGCCATATAAGTTCTCAGATACAGAGAACCCTTGCTTTGTGTGCAGTTTGCACAAGTCACTCTATGGTGTCCTGTCTGTTTTGCTGCTGATTATTGACTCCTACTGGGAAGAAATACCTGCTGTGTTCACGTTTTTTTGGTGTGTTTATGCAATGTCTGAAGATGCAGGAATAGTGCGGTAGAGTGACAGGCAGACGTGCAGCACTCAGGCTGCTTTAGGTGAGTGAGCACAGTAATAATCTTACGAGATAGATTCTCTTAGCATTTTATATTTTCAAAGGCTGGGAAGTTAAAATGACAGGCTGGCCTGTGCTGAAAAACCATTCTGTGTTGCTCTACCTCTTGTATATGGTCTGTACTAGAAACAACTGCACCAGTTTAAAGGTGATTTATCAGACGGAAAGCACTACCCAGAAGGATCTTTGGATATGGGCTATATTGCAGTCAGTGAAATCTCTGATGTGGAAAAATTTCAAACAATACACTGTGGCTGATATGTCACTGTTAAAGTTGTTGGAGAAAGAAGGGAACTAGAGACTGAAATTTAGTGGGGGGTTGGAATAAAAATTACTTCATGCAGGGAAAAAACGTGATTTGGAAAAACAACTGGAGCTAGAAATCAGCAAGTCTTAGTGAAAGTCTGTTCTTCTTTTAGCAAGTGCAGCCAATTACCCTCCTAAAGTGATGTAAGTTGCTTGGTATCTTTGAAACCTGCATTTCCCAATGCCCCGCACTAAACCCTCCGCTAACAATATGAATGACTTAGTTGGCAGTAACAAGACATTCTGCTGCTGGCAGCTAATGTTTTACAGGGTTCTGGGGCACAGCAGGAGTTGCTTTCCTGCATGTGCAGAGACGGATTTAGTGCATAACAGGAAACAGGACTGTGTTTGCAGCTTCATTGCTGGAAAATGCGTAACCCAATGGAAGGAAGATATTTTGCTCCCTGTATTTTCTCCTCCAATGACCTGATTGCCTTTAAATAAACTATAGGAATCATGGTTAGAAACATGGTTGCAGGTTCTGGGGATGGCCAGTTCTTTCGTGGGGTTGGGGCTGTGGGCCCAGAGCATCTCTTAATTCCACCTGTCAGCCACTCCTGCAGCTGGGGAGGAGCAGATGGAGGGTGCATCCCTTTGGAGCTCACTAGAACTTCCCCTGCAGGGGTCAGTGTAGAGCCAAGTGTTGAAACTCCACTCCCAGCTAAGAAGGTTGACACCAAAGTTGCTTTTCATAGATTCATAGATATTTAGGTCAGAAGGGACCATTATGATCATCTAGTCTGACCTCCTGCACAACGCAGGCCACAGAATTTCACCCACCACTCCTGCGAAAAACCTCTCATCTTTTGTCCCATGGGGTCAGTTTCTCACACCACTGCTCCTCCTGAGAGTGGCCACATCTGCCATGCTGACTCAGTGGCACTTTCTGCTGGACCTCTCCAGCCATCCTGCATTTTTAGCTGGCCTTCCTAGTGCACTGGGACATGGCAACACCATTCTAAGTATAAGCTCACAAAAAACATCCCTGGTACTGGTGTCTAGCACAGAGGGGCTGGAAAGCCATCTGAACTGGCCACTGGGAAATTCCCTTCGCATAGGGGAATGCCTTAACTAGTGTAAAGAGGAGGAGACAGCTTTATTCCACCCCCAGGGTGGCTGCATGTTGGAGGAATAGCAGAAGGGGAGGAGGTATGGTCAAAGCACCAGTGTGCTGGCTGTGGAGTGGCTCCCTAGTGGCCACGTAGCACAGCGTAGCGTGAAGCAGCTCTTGGGCTACGGTAGCTGACGATGGGGACTGCGCAGCGTTCCAGACACCCCCAGATTCAGGAAGCTACAAAACCAGCACCCAACCGTTTTGCTCATTCCCCTTTCTGAACGGAACCGAGCACAGCTGGCCTGCATCCCAGGATCAACATCAAAACATCCTACATCATTTAGCAGGACCTGCTTGTGCCGTTCACAACGACGACGCACCTTGTCATCTAGACGCACTTCACATGCTGTGTGCACATGTGCAGGAGTATAAACCAGAGGTCTGCAATCTATGGGGCAAGCCCCCCTAGGGGGACACGGAGTAACATTCCGGGGGGGGTATGGCTGGGGCCCGGACCAGCCCCCACAGAGGGTAGGGAGGGAGCGCCACCTAGCTCTGCTCCTGGTCCTGGCCGCCTGTCTTATGCCCAAGGTCTTGGTTGCCGCCCCGTGCCTGCCCTGCACCTAGGGTTCCGGCTGCCTACCCCACCCCGCACGCACCTACAGGCTTCAGCCCCTGGCCAAGGGTCCACTCCCACCCACAGCTGTGGCCCCAGCCTCGGCCCCATTACCCCTGTCTGCGTCCCCCCCTCCCGGAGCCGCGGCCCCAATCCTGGATCCATGGGTGGGGGGAGAGGCACAGACAGCACTAAGGGGCAGTGCAAGGTAAAAAGTTTGGGGACCACTGGTATAAACACACTCACAGGAAGCACTTCTCCCATCACAAACATGCAAGCACCTCTGCAGCAGAACACAGCAGCTGTTTAATAGTTTGCAACAACACGCATGGCAATTTCCAGGTATGCCGCTACGTACTGCAGTGTAGACCTATTCCTAGACAGGCAGTGAAGAAATACCTTCACTTAGTTCGTAATCTCCTTGGGGCAGGGACTGTCTTTTTGTTCGGTTTGTACAGTACCTAGCACAATGGGAGCCTGGTCCATGGGGTTATGGTAATACAAATAACAAATATCAATAAGAGAGGACAGAGATATGAAAGACAGATTTTCCGTAAATAAGTTCTTAGTCTGCTTGCATACTACTGTGGTAATGCTTTTAGAACAGTCTAAGCTTTACTCATAGTTCGCAACTGATACCAGGATTTAAACTAAATCCATGAACATGCCCCATTCTTATGACACCCAAGCAGATGTGACTCCAGTTCTTTCCTGTTTTAGGTTCGCAGCCAGGGCCTGACTGCCTGTCTGCAGACACTCCCTGATGTGGCATCGCTTTCTTTCCACATCGTTGCTCCGCATTTGCAGTTCAACATCTCTGGTGTGATTACATAAGGGGTGCCAGCTCCATAGAGTCTGTATTGTGCTCTGATTGCTCTGTATGAAACAAGCCCTTCTCTGGTAGCAAAAGCCCGCCCCAAACTGTGTGGGCATCTCACCTCAACTGAACAATCAGCAATTGTTTGGGAACTTTAACTACATGAAATCTGTGGTACATACATTAAATTTAATGAAGGGAGAGTGGGTGGATGACTGGAAATTATTTATCTAAACATTTGGAATGCCCTTTTTTGTCATGAGCTGGAGTTTTAATCATCATCTGGACTACAAGCATTTTAATTCTGCCATTTGGAGAAAGCTCCAGATATGCAGTAGTTTTAACACCTGTTCGTAAAGTTAGTCACTCAAAACTAATAGTCACTAGATAAGGGCCAACAAGCCATCTAAGGCTATTTCAGGCAGACATGCAGATTCTATGAGGTAATTCATACCAGGGTTCCCAAGGGTACAGATGTCAGACTGATTACTTAAAAAGAAAGCCACTCAGCTATCATCCGCACTCAAAGAATGTGTCGTACATACTAGGCTCTGCTTCTAAATATATTCTGTATTTACTGTATGCAAGAACAACAGGAAACCTTCAGGAAATACAGAGGAATTACTCAGATTTTCACCATCAACCAGTGATTCCAAACTGAGCCATTTTCGGTCTGGCAAAAATGGAATATGTTCATGGTTTTAACTTCTACAGATCAAAGAATCTTTACCTCCACAGACAGCAGCCCGACAGCCGCTGGTGTAAGACAAGTTTCAGAATGAGCTGTTGTATCAAGGAAGGAGAACAACACCTGTTCATCATTGGATGCACCTGCTTAAGGCAATGATCAGCAGGGCCACTGGTGCTCTCCATTTCCAAACTATATGCTTGCCAAGAGTTGATCATTATTCACCTGCATTTTGGACACGAACTCTATGAGCGTATACAAAGAACAGAGCACTGATTGCTAAATAACGCCTCCAGAAGCACAAAGAATGGCAGCTTTAACAAGGCTGACGTCAGCAGCTGATCAAATTTACTGGCAATGGGCGAGGAAGCATGTTTATGCCAGCCAGACTGGGCTGTCCTCATACCGGTCTCCAGTCATCATTCCTCACCTCTGTCTTATTACTCAGCTCTCACATTTATTAGTGTCTAAATTGCTAGCTGCATTTAGCTGCGGTAACAGATTAACCTTTCCTGAAGCAGTAGGGTGAATAAACAGGTCCCGGAAGCAGTAATTTACTTACTCTTCCAGCACTTGCCAAAGCAAGATTCTCTCTCTATGCTTCTATGCCCTTCCCCATAGTATCTGAGGGGGGCTGTGTTTTAGGGAGATCAGAGACTTTTGTCTGGGTCTGTTCCTAAGAAGAACCTCCTTGTAGCCTCTCTTTTAGAGACCTCTGTACTCAGAGAAAGCCTGCAGCTGCCCGCGGCCAGTGATATGAAAGAGCCCAGTAAACTGGGGGTATCATCAAAAAGCCTCCAACTCCAGATTACAACCAGCTCAGTATTAACCAGTCCAGAGAGATTTTGAGCAGATGGCCACTGTCAAATTCTTGGGACGTGTCATAGGCCGTGCTGGAGGAGGCTAAAAAGAGGGAGGCGCTCATCTAGCAGCGGACGACATTACCTTTCAGGCACTTCAGCAGCCTCTGTAGAGACGTTGCGACAGGAAGCTTGCTACGAAGCCGTGGCTTGAGCCTGACGGTTATACCTGCCCTGCCGCACAGCAGTGAGACGCGAGTGCTGGGGAAAGCTGTAGAGCAGTCGATGGACGTTTTAGATTCTTGCCGTCTTCGTCCAAGGCTCCATGTTAAGTGATAGGACGAGGCCGGCAACGAGGATATCCATAGCTGAACCCAGAAATTGCCTCCACTGGCGCTGGTTCACATCCAGGGACTTTCCTGGTACAGATATAGTAGGATGGAAGACGATGAACTGCGAACCGTGCTTGCCAAGGAATGCCCCGGCTTGTCTGGCAATCGCATGGGCATCAGAGATCACTAAGATCACCAGTGACTGACAAAGCCTGAACATTCAGCCAGACCATCGTAAAGACCTGGCTAGAGATCGATCTGGGTGATGCATGAGCTGCAAGGATTCTATGTCTCTTTGGGATTTGCCTCGATTGTGATCATGACGATGGCGTTCTGGGGGTGTAGCTCAGAGCAGGAGAAATAGACAAGTTGCAGACTCAGGGCCCACTGCAGCATCCTGTGACTGCCTCCTATTCTAATCTGTTCTACCCTGTTCTCTCTGCTGGCTATGGAGTAGCACACTGTTTCCTCGCAAAATCTGAACCTTGTAAACACTGTCTTTGTGACGGGCACGTTTCTTTGTTGTTTCTCCCCAGTGCAGACAGGAAGAGAGAGATTTGCCGAGGGGCAGGCTTTGTTGGGATTAGATATTAATCAGGAACCCTCTGTGTTCCCCACTGGCTTTTCCTAAATAAAAAGCTGCTTTAGCAAATGTTTTTTAAATGTATCTCTGTGTTGTTGGGGTGGACTCGCTTTCCGCACCATGGTATCTTTCCAAAAATCTCACGTAACTCATTAACCTCCGATCATCCTCTGTATTCTCTTCTCCACTGATAGGAGCATTTTACTGTGTTATTTTATTTAATTTCTGCATCGGGTCATGGAATCAGAGATTTTTACACACCGTGCCTATGCCTGGATTTGGGAGTTGTTTCTGTCGGTGCAGTTAAGCTCGAGCCGGTTTCCCCACAGAACTCTGACAGCGTCCCTACGCAAGCAACATGAATTCTTCTCAAGCGGTGTTTAGAGTAGTGAAGAGGTTCCAGGCATGTGTCGCTTATATCAGGAATGTGACAGAGCAGCTGGCACTGCTGGAGAAATGTAAACTACGCAGCACGGAGCTGTCCTGCCCATCCCCGTCATGGGCCTAGCTAGTTGGCTGGTCTCCCCTCCCTGGCTACGGTGCCAGAACAGCAGTAGATCCCATAATGGCATGTGGCTGCTGCTTATGCATGTAGCGTGGTGCTGTGATGCTCCCGAGTGCATTGTGCCACTCTCTCAACCTCAGGCCGTTGTGAACTTCAGACTGCATGTGAGCGTCTTGGCTGCCTGAAGTTGGGAGCAAGGCATAATCCACCCAGCTGCGCCACAAAGCCAAGCGACATGCACAAGCATCTGCCTCAGCACGGCACACAGCGATAGAGGTGCCCAGTGACAGAGGGAAGTGGTGGACATTAAATGTGGGTTGTCAGGTTTCAGTGAGGCCCCTATTACTCCAGCAGGTGCTTCCTCCTACCCTGCTGGAGTAATAGGGGCCTACCCTGCGTGTGTGTGTGCGCGCGTTGTTATTGTCTCCCTGTGCAGGGGGGTTTTGTGAATTGCACAGAACAGCACAAATTAGAGAGGGAAACGCCTGGTTAAGTCCCCTCCAGTCCTTCCCCCGAGGCAATGCAGGATTGCTCCCTACAACACATTCCCTAACATTTTGTCCAGCCTGGTTTTAAAATCTGGTTTAAAATCCCATCTCTTCTCTGAGATGATGATGCCACAAGCTAGCAGATCTCACTGCCAGCAAGTTTGTCCTGCTATCCAGCCTAAACTATCCTGTTTCTTACCACACTGGGGCTACAACTTGGATGACATCACTGGTGATGAAACTGACAAGGTAGGAATGGATAGGGGAGGTTAGAATAGGAACAGGTCACAGACATTATTCTGTATGGGTGTAGACTATTCTGCCAGGCCAGACTCCATGGGGACAGGTGAGGTATAAATGACTAGGCAGGTGAGGCATAAATGCCTACAGTAGCCTCCATGGTCCAGAACACAATGCGTTTTTTGGTGGAGGGAGAGGTACCTGTCCCTTTTCCCTACAGCCCAATAAGTACACACAGGCTCGGTCTACACTACAAACTTATGTTGGTATAATAAAGTTGCTCAGGGCTGTGGAAAATCCACACAGGGCTTCTCTGTTGACATAGCTACTGCCTCTCGGGGAGGTGGAGTACGTACGTGGACAGGAGAAGCTCTCCTGTCCTGTCAGCACGGATAGCTTCTTCACAAAGTGTTGGTGCTGCACTGGTGTAAGTGTAGATGAGCCCAGAGTGACTGGAGATCAATGCTGCTTTGCAAAGGTTGAGGCTAGCGAAGAAAAGGAGTGAACACCCAGGAGGCCGTAGGTTTAATATTTCCAACTTTTTATTCCTTATCTATTTGTGATTTCCCCAATCGTAACAGAGTCTCCTACCCTCTTCAAAGAACATCACCTCCCAGGTCCACAGGGAATTCTACATTACAAAGTGGCCCACAGGCCTTGCGAGTTGCTTGGCTCACATAGCTCACTATGCACAGCTGGATGTGGAGTGAATTCCTTTCACTGTTGTCATTAGCATTTCTGCCCAAGTGTTTTCTTTGGAAAGTTGCTATCTGGGGATATTAAGTTCCCAAGAATCTTGTTCTCCAGCAACAGACTTTTGCTGCCTGCTGGGGGATGATGCTTTCAATTCTTTCCTGTGCAGGTCAAAGTGAACAAAGGACTCTACAAACGTGCAGGAATTTCTTTTCTGAGGACTCCCAGGCTGCAGGTGGTTGAAGGCTGCTCACCAGCTGGGGCTGTGCAGTAGATAGAGGATTTATGTGCACACACCAGAAAAGCTTGATCAGCCCTCACCCATTTACATGGGAGATTTACTTGAAGAGGACTTGATGCATTCCACAATAAAAAAAAAAAAAGGAAAAAAAAAGACCTCTTATTAAGATTTTTGTCATCGTTAACCACTTGGGGGTTTGAAAAGGAAATTTAATTATTTCCTTGCAGCTTTTTCCTCCATTGCTACCCATACTAGCGTGTTATAGGGTCTCTCACGAGTGCTGGATTGTGGCAGGGAGGTGATGGACTCTCTCTATACTGAGAGACTGCTGAGACTGAACCTAGAACAGTGGTTCTCAAAGCCGGTCCACCGCTTGTTCAGGGAAAGCCTCTGGTGGGCCGGACCGGTTTATTTACCTGCCGCGTCCGCAGGTTTGGCCGATCGCGGCTCCCACTGGCTGTGGTTCGCTGCTCCAGGCCAATGTGGGCTGCGGGAAGGGTGGCCAGCATGTCTCTTGGCCCGCGCCACTTCTGGAAGCCTCTTGCCTGCTGCCGTGTGGGGTTCTTGAGGGTCACTGCATGTCTGATTCCAAACCCAGGCCATCCAGGAACTCAGCGGGTTTGAGAATGCTTGTTTTGACCCATTTTTCTTTTGGGCCCTCTATGCAAACAAGAGTAGCAAGGAGCATGACAACTTCCCTGTCCTGCTCTAAATCCCTTTTATATGGCTGACCAAACTATTAAATCTCCTGACCTTAGTTGTGATCTGGCCCACATCTAAACCACTAACCAGTGAACCTGATGAAGCCCAAGAGCAGGCTATGAACTTATACATGGTAGAAGCGTCTTTAACCACAGAGATCACATGTCTGTAGTGAAACCACAAGTCCAGTTGCTGATTGGTTCTGTAATAATGCTGCAGTAATGGCCTGTGGAATTTAAGCCATTGAAAGACATAAGTGCTTTCATCAGATTTTATGTCTAAACCATTTGGACCAAATTCTGTCCTGTTTTACACCCCAACCCATCTCTCCTGACATCATTAGGACTGAGCTGGCTATATGTGCCGAAATGGGCCCTGTATTTATACGTCTGAATAAAGCTTTTTAACCTATAAAGATCAGAGTAATGGTAGCAAATTGTAGTAGACAATACCCAACCCAGGGTGTAATTATGATCCTACCCAGCCTGTTTGTAAGTTGTAGAGGGAGCGTATACAGTTCCTGTCTCTCTGCCTTTGCTAGATGACAATCTTAAGTCCACTATACATATATTTGCACTGGGCGACTTTCTATTCAAACAGCAGGTGTAAAAGCAAATTCTAGTCTGATTAATTTTTTTAGGCAGCTGCTGCTAACTTCAGAGCACTAATGGAAGACAGGTTGTTTTTCTACTTTGTTTCTGAAGGGCTCACAAATCAGAATCAAAGTATTAGAAGTAAAACTTCGTACAGCTGCTTAGCAGTTTGCTTTCCCAGGGGTGACATGTCTACGAGCGTGTTCGCAGTTTTTGGAAAATCGTTCGGTATAAGCAACTTTTTTTGTTCCTTTCATCAGAATTACCAGCTTTTTCTTTCAACTGTTTGTTTTTTGTTTGAACTGTGAGAGCATAAATAAACCGCCCTAGCCGGAGACAAAATATCCATAAATTAGAGCCACCACTTAGTTATGATTCCAGAGCAGAGCTTTACAATGAAGTCATGACTTCCCGGTGAACAATGTATCAATCTGAATATATAATAATTAAGTGAAAGTACACGTTGCTGTAAACTTCTGGAAAGTACCAGTTGCTATGGTTGGTTGGTACAGGCACTTCTGGTACATTGCCATTTTGAAAGTGTCAATTAAAAAAAAATAATTCACATCAGGGTCATTGTTTTTAAGCCACGCTTCAAATAGCTCCATCCCTCTAGGCTGGTGCATTGGTGTGAAGTGCAGCCAAGTTCATAGAATCATAGAATATCAGGGTTAGAAGGGACCGCAGGAGGTCATCTAGTCCAACCCCCTGCTCAAAGCAGGACCAATCCCCAACTAAATCATCCCAGCCAGGGCTTTGTCAAGCCTGACCTTAAAAACTTCTAAGGAAGGAGATTCCTCCACCTCCCTAGGTAATGCATTCCAGTGTTTCACCACCCTCCCAGTGAAAAAGTTTTTCCTAATATCCAACCTAAACCTCCCCCAC